TAATAATAATAATAATAATAATAATAATAATAATGGCAATGGACCCAGTAATTATCAACCAATTACATGCCTTCCAAGTAATTATCGACCAATTACATGCCTTCCAACAAAGCTCAAGCTCCTCACAGGAGTATTGGCAAACGCAATATATAATTACTTTACTGGAAACTCCCTATAACCAACTAAACAGAAAGGAAACTTTAAAAACTCAAGAGGCATGAAAGATCAGCTGCTTATTGATACAATTATACTGAAGTATGCAAAAAGATGAAAAACAAAACTTAACATGGCCTGGATAGAATATAAAAAGGGCTCAAGCTCCTCACAGGAGTATTGGCAAACGCAATATATAATTACTTTACTGGAAACTCCCTATAACCAACTAAACAGAAAGGAAACTTTAAAAACTCAAGAGGCATGAAAGATCAGCTGCTTATTGATACAATTATACTGAAGTATGCAAAAAGATGAAAAACAAAACTTAACATGGCCTGGATAGAATATAAAAAGGCATTTGACTCATTGCCATACAGTTGGATTAACAACTCCGGGGGGTACTCTACAGAGTGTACTGTCCGTCTCTCTCCGCAGAAAGATGAGGTGGCAACCATTGTAAAAGAGTTAAAACAATTGAGGATAGAGATAGAAACACCAGAGGGCACTAACTGGGCGGGAAAGGAGAAAGGGATAAAAGAAGATGACAGGAAGAGAGAGGGCAGTTCAGAGGGAAAGAAGGAAGAGGCCTGTTGGGCTCAAGAGGAGAGAGAACAAGAGGAAGATTTAGTAGATATAGTTCAAGAAGACCCCTGGACAGGGGCGTGGGTAGAGTTCAGAGTTCCTAGGGAGTATGTTGAAAAGGAGTGGAAGAGACAAGTATATAGAAAGCCACCTTATTGGGGGAAGACAGAAGAAAGGAAGCAAGGTAAAGAATACAAAGCTTGGCAGCAAAGAGGAGCACAGATAAGAGAGCAGAGGAGATGTACGGAGAGCCCTGGGAGATCCCGTGGGGCTAGTCCCTTCCGACCACAATGGAGGCAGAAAATGGGCAAGAAGGTTTGGGAGCTGCAGGTGGGCTGGCTTTACTACCCTCAGCAATGATACTAATGGAACATGCACCTGAAATGCATACCTAAGTGGAACCAAGGAGTTGTGAGTTCTTCACCCATATTGTTCAAAATTGATTTGTCACATTTATCAAAAGTTAAGACTTATGACTTATTGTTGAAACCAGAAACAGAAAGAGTGAACATAAACAAGGCAGAAGATTTGTTAAACAATAAACCCGTTTTATTAGATGACTTTGGTGTACAGCATTCTTCCTCAAGGAAAAACTTATCTAAGGAGGTAAAGGATATGGGACAGGATCACAGTGGTGACCAATGTGGAGGCAAGTCCTTACGTCCTGACATGACAGAAAGATGGATGCAGTGGGCGACAGAACAACAGAATGCCATTTTGAAACAACTAGTAAACCGACAGAAAGAGATGATGGAACAGATGATGAAAATGCCGGGACTATCAGAAAAGAAACTCATAGAGCCACCAATACAAGTGGACAAATTAATAGTGGTGCCCAGCTTCAAACATATAAAGCTACAAAGACCAGGTGATGATCCAGAAGCGTTCTTACACATGTTTGAAAGGATAGCAATGGCAGCAAAATGGCCTCTAGACCAATGGACACTAATCCTGATGCCATACTTAATGGGATTGGTGCAAGAAGTAGTAGATACACTGGAACCAGAAGAAATACAAGATTATCCCAAAATAAAAACAGCAATACTGGGCACCCTAGATCTCTTGGAGGAGTTAGTGGTGACCAAACAACTAATAACAACACTCCCAACAAATATTAAGAGCTGGGTGCTACGCAATTAACCAATCATGTTGGAAGAGACAGTCATGTTGCTAGAAGCCTAGGCCCGAGCAGAGGAATGAAACAGCTACTTCATTAATTTGACGCAAGAGGAAACAAGGAATAGAGAAAATATGGTGTATTCAGCAACAGTAGTCGTAAGACCAAAAATGAAGAACCCGATGACCACAGGAAACCAAATTTCGACACCGGCGAATCCAACAGGCTCAAAATTCATCAGATCCTTTGTTACAACTGGGCTAGATGCAGAACTCCAGTGACCAGAACCACCAAACATGAGGAGAGAAGGGAAGAACATCTGCTATGGCTGTGGGCAAGAAGGACACTTCAGGAGAGAGTGCTCAGTCAAGGACTTCGCGTGGGCCTCAGCCCTCATGACCGCAGGCGAGGTGGGTGGCAAAGAACACCCTGGATGGGAGGTGATGGCACAAGTGGAGACAGAACAGTATAAGCCCTGGTAGATACAGGGTGTAGACGAACTTTGATCAGAGAATATCTGGGCTTGAAGCGAGGAGGACAGATGATAGTACGCTATATTCACAGAGATGTGAAACCATGCCCGTAGATAGAAACAGAAATAAATATAGGAAGAGAAAAACAAAGATTGAAGATAGGAGTAGTAACAAATTTGGCTCATGAAATGTTATTGGGAAGGGATTGGGAAGGAGTCGAATGACTTACAGAGGCTAGAGTGCTGATAAATGCGGAAGGGTTGGCAGTAATCGAAAGTATTCAAGGGGAGTCCAAGAGGCAAATTATAATGTGGCAACAAGATGATCCAGACTTACAGAAGTGGTTGCAAGCTGTGGGACCAGAAAAGGGGGAAGATAGACAAGAAGAACAATTTATACTGAAAGAGG